CTTTCCTGGGATTTCAGTCACGGCTTGGTGTCCCTCTGTCCCTCTTTTAGAGAATCCATTTTCCCAAGATAATACCCTGGAAAAGGAGCAAAACCCAACAATAATTCAGACAAGGTGTAAGTGCTGCTGGTAGGTTGCAAAAAGGCTCCGAAGGACAGGGTGCCTTTCCCTATTCTCAARGAAACATGTCCATGACTGAGAAAGGTACATTTGTGTTCAGGTTGCTTCTGAACCCCAGAGGCTTCATCATTTTTCTTTCTGTATATGTGCATGCTTCCCTGTAACAGTGGTCTCCCAATAGCCACCTTCCCTATCCTGAGTCCAAGGGGACTTAYGGGGGTGTGTTAATGTCCATCTGCAACACCCAGGATTGGACACTGATGGGAAAATCTTTATAAAACAAGTAACTGAACACTTCTGAAAGTAATGACATCTGCATGTGATTTCTTGTTTGGCTGCASTGGCTGAAGCTGTAGCTGCTAACTCAGCAGACTGTAAGTAGACACTATTGTCTCTTCAGTGAGTCCTGGCTGCAATTCAGGATGTTAATAATATCTAGAGAGCCATAGGAGGCTTGGATCCTGTCTATCAGGAACCACCTCTCTCTCCACAAACACTTATGGGAGCAAGATTGGGGAGATGATCTTGCTGACAGTTCCCTAATTTAGCAATGAATGGCAGGCATTCATTTTGGAGATCTGTACAGAGTTCATTATTTTTCAAGCTATCACTTAGGATCCAGAACGGGTGCATTTGTAGAAAAGTCTGTAAACATCTTGATGGTTGTTCTAACATATGTTTATATATCAGAGTAAATGCTAGGGGGATGCTTTGTTTTTAAATTAGAAAAAAAATCTCCCCTAAAAGCTAAATATGTGGATGTGTTGTTATATTCTTTTCCTGACACTTATGGCAGCACTGGGAGAACACTCCGGCCAAGCTGATGGGCAGCCAAATATAATTTATGGCTTGTTTTAAACTGATTTGTTGACTTCATGAAAGGCTCTGTCAAAAAGAACAGTCCCCTGAGTCCTAACAATGATAACAGTTACATTGCATCAGCGCCGAAAAACTCTTGGAGAATAGTGAACCCATCCTGAGAAATCTTTTTTAAAGCGTCTGAACACTGGATTTTCTAAAAAGAAATGGAACTAAAGCTGTTGTTTCATAGTTCTTTTCAGTTTTCTTTATTCTTTTACATTTTATTTTTCACTGATTGGAATACCCTCTTGGTAGCATGAAAATAATTTCCCTTATTCCAGTTAGTTAAAAACAAAGATGTGTGTTGTTTAAAGGAGATATTGCTAATGAGGACATGTTTAATTTCTCTTACGTGCGGTGTTGAATTTGCAAGTGATATCAACATGTTTGTGTTTGCATCAGTCTGACCGAGAGCAGGACACTCCTGAGCCTCCTATCAGCCACATTTCTCCTTTGCTGAAGCAAAGGGCAACCCCAACGTGCTGTTTGTGCCTGCACTGCTCAGAGATCCCTCACCCAAGGGCAAGATACACATCCCCTGCTGTATCTGATCATATCTCAGGGAGCTTCCAGCCACCAGCTCCTCTGCCACTGTCCTCCTTGTCCTTACCCCATGACTTGGGCAGCCTTGCCTCTGCCTGGCTGTGACAACAGTGACCACAGCTGCAAAAGACCATCTGCTTCCTAAGGTCTTCCCTCCTCATATCAGTTTTCAATGATCTTGTCTCCACTAAGTTCAACAGTGTTGTTTCATTGGTCTGAGTTCTTCCTGGTGGAAAAGCAGTGCTTCGGTCAGAATGTTGTCTTTTAAATCTTGGTAAATTTGACACGTTTTCTTGTCTCCCCCCTTGTCTTTACCTGAACCTGCACCACAGATTTACCGTCCTGCAGCTCTGCAAGTTTCCACATCCTGACTACTTTTCTGAATGTTAGGGTAGTGAAATCCTAACATACAGATAAAACAATATCACAGGAAGAATTATAAATATGTTCTTGTCCAAGCACATAACAATGAGCAAGCCTGWCTGTAACAGTTTGGATCTCTGGTTTCCTCCCACCACCGTGGGAAAAGGAAGCTGCTTCTGTGCCTAGACAGTTTTCTACATCAGTGTGATGAAGCAGGGGTCAGCCCTTCCTTAGCCCTGCCAGCTCCAGGGAAATGGGTGCAGCAGCTCCTGCTCTGCAGCCTGGCATCRCTGTGTGACCAGAGACTTTCTGCAGCCTTCACAGCCACACCAGGCCAGGAGCAACCTGGCCCTTGCAGGACTCAAAATAGCTTAGGGAAGGAGGGGAAATTCTTGCAAACTGCTGTGATTGCAAATTTATGAGATTAGTCCAAGGGCCTGATATAAACTCAGGCAAAGCAGATTCACAGCCTCATGGCCTTCATTAGGGTGTTTTCTTGATCAGGTTTGGGGTTTTTGTGAAACTAAAAGGAAATAATTGTATTTAAAATGTCATGTCTTGTTCCTYCATTTTAAGAAAACACAGAACAAAAATTCAATCCATTTTGTGGAGAGAAGTATTTTAAGGTGGAATATATGTTTTTGTACAATTTCTTATGGAGAAGAACTCCTAGTATTAATTAATGAGTCAAAACTAGAACCATTGAAACAAGTGAGACTTCTCTCATTTACTTCAGGCTGAGCAGGTTTTCATACACGTCATAAACAATTACAGTAATTTTCTTTTACCATCTAAACAGTGAAAGTRCTGTGCAACCCACATGGCTAGGTTTTTGTTTTCTCTGAACAAAGCCGATCTCACTTCTTTTATTGGTACGTACAGCTGGACAGAAGGTGTGTTGCACAGTTTGGTGTCTTTTTGGAACTGGAAAAGAGCACTGGATTTTGGTCCTGCAAAAAAATACTCAGTGTTGAGKTTTTTTTTTTCTCTCTTGAAGGTAAAACTGTTCTGGCTGTTGGGTAGAGAGGGGATGTTTGCTTCTAAAGGTTATTTCTTGACACTCACATTCCACAAATAACAGGAAGGATACTGTGGTTAACGTGGTTGCAGTTCTGGAAAGTGGCAATACAAATTACAATCTGGGATTCTGTATTCTGTTGTCTCACCCATATCCATGTTAGATCTGCATAGATTGGAAGTAAAAATATTGTAGGAAATTCTAAAAACTTTTTATAAATCTTGACCCTAGGAATGTCAAACTATGACTCYGGCCAAAGTATCACAATTATGTGTAGGGAAGTGTTAACAGCCTGCACGGGAGAAAAACGCCACGTCCTTGGCTGCCTTGAGAAAAAGAGATTGGAATGCAGAATTGATAATGCAGGTGGCCAAACTGAAAACATTGGCGACACTGCAGCTTTTCCAAATCTACCAATCCTATGCTGATGAGTAGAAAGTGACAGCCTCACTGACCAATGTTTGACACAAATGTATGCACTGGTTGGTAAAGTGGATAAAAGAGGCCTGTCCCAGAATAAAATTGTTATTTTTTGTTTGTGTATATGTGTGTCTTTGTGTGTGTTATTTTGTGTCTGCTGTCTGGCCAACAGCAACAATTATGAAAATCCCATTACAATTTATTTAATAATTCTCTTGATGATCAAAGTATCAGATTACATTTATTTAATCTGTTATGGCTTGTGAAGAGGAATAAAGTTGTGCAGAAAACTTCTGTTATCACTAAAAATTCTAACTCTGATTTGCAACTACACCATTTTATGTAGTAGCATTTAATATTTTGAGTGTGCAATTGGATTTCTGAATTCGTATTCCTTGTACTCATCTTTGAAACTGGTATAGGAATTTYGGCACAGGAAAGCATTTCCCATAATCAAATCTTTGGTGATGACCCAACATGAAGGTGCCTTTGGTGTGCAGGGTGTTCTTAGGAACCTTTTATTCCACGCTACAGCCAATAACACTTGTTTGGTTTGGAAGAGCCTTGCTAGGCCAGAACCTCAGRCACTATGTTCTAGTCTCAGTTCTCCCAACAGCTGCTGAGTTCAATTTATATCTATGGTCCTGTAGAATATAGCAAAAGTTAGAGCATACAAACAGCTCAGCAAGCTCACTTTATGTTTGTTTTTAAATAATATTTTTTTTTTAATTTAAGAGGTTGATAATGGTTTTGCTTGGGGGAGTCAGGTGGCTGAAGTCATAGAGCTGGGTGGACTTCAGATTGGACGTTAGGGGAAATTTGTCACAGAAGGGGTGATTAGATACTGGAATGGGTAGCCCAGGGAGGTGGTGGAGATGTTTAAGGAAAGACTGGAGATGTTTAAGGAAAGACTGGAGATGTTTAAGGAAAGACTGGACGTGGCACTTAGTGCCTGGTCTAGCTGACAAGATCGTGGTGATCAGTCACAGGTAGGATTCGATGATCTCAGAGGTCTTTTCCAGCCTAACTGATTCTRTGCTTCGGTGACTTGCCTGGGGAGAGCAGTATTTGGTATGGCCAGGGCTCCTGGAGCAGCTCATAGGGACACAGATAACGGGCTCTTGAACCAGAGGACGCGGCAGAAGCTCCGGGGTGTCTGACAGACAGGCCACSGAGTTCAAACATGATGCAATCTCAGCGACTGCTAAACGTTTTTTTCTTGCTGTTAAAGGCGTTTTTTTCGTGAATCCTGAGCTCACGCCTCCCTGCTGACAGCCTCTGTTGACAGACAGGCCGCCTAGGGGGCCCGCTGGCCGCCTTCCCCTCCTCACGGAGCCGCCCCTCGCCCTCAGCTCCCCTGCCAGTGCCGGGGCCCCGCGCCCCCTCCCTCAGCCAGCGGAGCTCCGCCCGGCGGCTCCCCTCAGCCAGCGGAGCTCCGCCCGGCCGCTCCGCTCTGCCTACCTGGAGCCACCTCCATGGTGCGGGGCGGGGCCGGCGCGGCGGGGGCGGTGCGGTGCGGCGGGGCGGGCGCCCGGGCCGGCGGCTGCAGCGACTCCCCTTTGTGTCTGGAGCTGCCCGTGCTGTTGGGGCGGGCGGGCGAGAGGGGGCGCGGGCGGCGGAGCTCCGGCCTTCTCTCGGCTCCCGCCCGCAGCCGGCGGCGGGCAGGGGAAGGAGGCGGAGCGGCCCCTCGCCGGCGAGGAAGGTGCTGGCAGCGCGGAGGGACTGAGCGGAGAGCGGCCGGAGAAGGCCGGGCCAGACTGCCCGGCGCTGTGGGAACTCGGCGCGGGAGGCTCAGCAGGGGAAGGGCCTTCGCCCGCGGAGAGCAGCCGGGCGCGCTCGCAGCTGGAGCCGCCGAGGAGGGGCCTCGCCGCCCCGGGCCCCACCTTTGTCGGGGTGGCCGGGGGTGGTGTCGGTGCTGCGACGGGAGCCGGGGCAGCGCGGAGGAGCCCGCCCGGCGCGGGAGGTGGATGGGCCGGGATGCAGCCGCAGCCCTCGCCGTGAGAGCGGGGGGCCTCGCCGCCGCCTTCCCCGGAGCGTGAGGCAGCGAGGAGGGGCGGCCCAGAGGACAGAGACCTTTGCCGGGATAGGACCTTTGCGGCGCCTCCGTGAGCCCGCAGCTCGCTCTCCGTGCCCCGGGCAGCCCGCAGGGCCCGCGCTGACTGACACGGCTGTGGGCGCGTCTGGATATGTTCCCTTCCCAACCGGGCGCTTTCTTCGATGTCGTGAAGCTGCGTGGGAAATAGCCCGGTTCCCAGCGGAGTCGGGAGCGTGCCGCCGTCCTCCCCGGCGGGGGAGATGCCTCGGGGCTGGGAGGCAGAGCCAGGCGCTTCCCCCGTGTCCGCTGAGCGCTGCCGGCTTCCCAGGCATGACGGCGGGCGGCTGTAATGGAGTAAGAGCGAAGACGGCTCCTCTTATCTGCCATTTGCCCTTCCAGACGGGATTGTAAACCGAGAGAGTTAAGGAAGGCTGTGCGAAAGCAGGAAGAATTTACTCTCTTCGTGGTTTGGCTTTTTATTTTTTTTTTTTTTTACTCCCTTTTCTTTTTTCTCCTCCCGGCTCGAACCGTGGCTTGCCCAGGTATGCCTGCCTCACTGCAGCACCTTGTGCTGGTGCTCCTGCTCTCCAGTGCCACCCTGCTGCTCGGCACTGCGGCTGGTGAGTAGCCACTGGGTGGAACGAACTGGCCATTTTGGCAGCACCAAGGGGGTGGGGTCCGCTGGTATTTGGGCACATCTGTGCCTCCTTACAAAGTGCTATGCRTCTATTTCAGCGGAGAAGCCTGATAAAAGTTTTGAAATCCTGATACGTTAAGTGTCTCGGGGAATAAAATCTGCTTTATTGTGTAAATGAGCTCGACTTGCACTCAGTRAGAACGCTTTGGTGTAGATCTGCATCTCTTGTCTAATAACTTACTTCAGTTTTGGAAATATATATAATCTTTTTGTTTTGCATACCTCGTCCTCTGTAAGGTAATGCAGGAATTTTTAATATATATTTTAATCGGCAGCAGAGCTGTGCATGTTTTGCTATGGGTTCTTCGGGCACAGCCATTTTTAATTTTATCAGCATCGGTGCTTCTCGGGGCCTTCCACATGTGCTGTAGTTTTATAACAGCATTACTGTAATGTGTATTTTTTTTTCCTTGGAGAGGTCTGAAGCAAATATGGAGAGATTTCTTTGTCACTTGTAATTGTAGAACACAAAAAAACCCCACTGTTAAGGAATGCTGAAAGATCTTGAAGAGTATTCTTTTTTTATAACAAGAAGTTGGAAGCATGAATGCTAAGAGGATCCTTACTCATATATTTGGACATTCTAGTCCTATTTTAAATCGTGTTCGGAATCTCAGTGTTAGATATGTAGGGTGTTGGAAGAGAGATGTGTGTTGGTCTGGCATCCTTTGCTTTTCTGTCACGGTGACAGATTAGCGTGTTAGAGCCTTCGAGTGTAACCCAGCTTTGTTAGGCAGTAATACCAATTGTTCTTGCAGTRTGCATTTCCCAGCACTTTTGGAAGACTCCTACGACTTTTCTGTCGTTTTGCTGATCGGGATCCAATCTGCAGTGCTTGCTTTTCTTCGTGTTATTTTGTAATCTGCTGGGTATAGTTYGTAAGTGAATCTTCATCAGAAAATTTCTGAATCTTGCTAAAGATGACCCAGCAAACTGATCGTTGTTTCCATTATAGTTATAGTTCCAATATTAGTTATATTTCAGTGAGGTCTTAAAACTAATTTGTCAAAGTTGAAGATCCTTAGTGTCATTATTAGGAAAATCCTGTAAATGACACATATTTAGGCAGTTTATCCRTTGCTCTGACTGGATAGTCTCTGATTTTCTTGCTTCTGCTTACTAAGAGGTCTCCTTCAGGAAGATTCATAAATTAAAAGCTTGATGTTCCCTGTATCATCCTGACCTTTGACTGCCATTATTTTAGATGGATGTCTGCAGCGTCTCTCTGTGGTCRTTTCTAAGGAGTGTTTTTATTTTTTCTCCCCTCTTTTTTTTTTTTTTTTTTTTTTTTTTTTTTTTTTTTTTTTTTTTTTTTTTTTTTTTTTTCCCCCCTTTTTTTTTTTTTTTTCCCTGGGAAAAGGGACTTCTGAAGGTCAAAAATCTTAGTATTAAAGCACATATGAATCAAGAATGCCCAGCATCTCAACTTTTCTTTCAAATGTAATTTTTACAAAAATGTAAGCTTGTTTTTGCCTTTGTGAAAACTTCAGTGGGTTGGTAATTTCTGTGCCCTAGTGAAGAAGGGTTACTGAAGGAGCAAGCAGAGATTTGTACCAGGCCAAGGGCTGGGCAGGTGCTGTAGGAGTGCATTTTCACGGTTTACCCAATTCACTTCAATTCTGACCTGGCAACAGCATTCCCAATATTTCAGTTCTGCCTTGTTAAAAGGGTATTAACGATGCCAGCTTGGTTGGTTGCTTTGTGAATAGAAACCTGTTTTCCCATTGTGATTTATTTCTTAATTGCAAAATTTTAACAATTCACATTTTAAAAAAACTTGGGTCATAATCCTCTGTAGAAGTAATTACATGGATGATTTGAGCTTTAGTTAAAGAAGCTAATGGTTGATTTTAAGTTTACACTGCATTTCAGAAAAATAATGTCTATACATGGGGAAGCTACACTACTGTGTAATTCTGCCCTTTTATGTTCATGAAAGAGCCAACACTCTTTCTTCTCTTCCCCTCCCCCAAAGTATRAACCGTACACTCCCATCAGAGTGAAAATGCTGCCTTTGTAGCTTTGAAACCCCTATTAATTCTTTCTTCTGATTAGTGAACAGATACTATATCTCAGCAGTGTATAGAATTGAGTGCCCATAAATGTAAAATCATGACATCAGAGGGAAAGTATTTTGGTAACAGGTTTTTAAGTTTCTGTCTGGAGGAGAATATCTGGACCTCTTTGGGGAGAGCTCCACAAAGATCTGGGATTAATATGAACAGGAAAGGGAAGATTAAACGATGAATAAAGAGGATGACAAATCTGTAGATGATAGTTGCACTCAATCTGAAATATGAATGAAGAAAGAATGTGGTTCTTCCTTCCCCTTTGTAATTGAAGATATAATAAAGAACTAGCTCTAAATTCAGAAATATTTGCTGATTATTAGGAGGAAAATATTACTGGCTTCCTCCATAAATTAAAGATCTTAACAGTTATCTGGTGAATCTGTATTTAAATCTTGTAGTCTTGTAAAGAGAAATGCTACAGTGAGGACATATTACTGACAACGGTCTTGGGTAAAGCTTTAAAAAGCAGTATTGGACAAAAATGGTTTGTGACACTTTGTTCTTCATTTCCCAAATTATTTGAAATGCCTATTTCTAAATATTTTGTTTAGAACTATGAGGCATATTTATATGCCTTTATATTGTAGAGGATTCTGATGTGTTAMTCATGAGGGTTTGTGCCTGAAGAGGTGGTTGGTGAACCTATGAGCTGTTCCCCAGTATTGTGAAAGAATTTTGTTTGGGTGTTCATACAGACCAGATATTAAAGATACAATCTTTCCTCATTTCACTTGCTTACGTTCTGTGATATGCAATACTGGACCACTTTTCCTTCTGCATACATGTCCAGGGTGRACAGCATTCCGTTGTCTAATGTGTAAATTATTGGCAGAAAATAYAAAGTGAAAATTAAAGCAAACAGTATTCTTTTATCTTTGGGAATATTTTCATAATTCTGTATTTATGTGGTTCAACAGGGCTGCAAAAATTAAAGTGTGAAAGGAATTGGATGGAGATAGAAATATATTTTTAATGATAATTTTAATTATTAATTAAAGTGAGTGAACTGAAGCATCTTTGACTAATTCTGTCTTGCTGGTTAAAGTTACTTTAGTATCTCAACATAATTTATTTGAAATATGAATTGGGTGACAGAAGGAAAAGTCTCCTTTGGACATTCAACTCAGTTCTTCCAATTCAGTGTTTTGAATTAGTWATTAACTATGTATCTTGTATATTAAACAGTGGGTTTTAAAAGAAACTTATCTGCACTCCTTTTTCTACTTATTTACTAGAGCTACATCAATTGTTTATGGTTTGTTGAAATGTAACCTGAAAATTCAGTTTATTTTTCTGTTTGTGTTGGGAGCTTTCTCAGAAATAATAGCCGAGGAGATGGAAAGCAGGCTCTTTGCTTGAGGAGCATGCTGGTATGCCTGATGGATAACCACATGCATGAGCACAGCCTGGATGCCAGACTAGGGCTTCATGGGCTGTCTGCTCSTGTAAAGAAACTGTGTAGCTGTGAAAGCCCAGGATTCTGCACACAGCCTTTCACCCCTTCCCCACACAGTGCCTTTCAGGCTGGGACGAGCCTTTTTTCCATTAGGGCAATCAGCCTGTGTGAACCTCTGTGSTAATTCAGCTAAGGTGCTTCCAGTTTCCAAGCAAACTTCAGTGCTTGGGYACTGCACTGTGCAGTGTAGGCACAGCCTGGGAGGAAATGGAAGTTGTGCTCATCTGGTCACCAAGGAACCCAAATTTCAAGCCCTGAGACATTACACTGATACCTTGCTTCAGTGTGAATGGTTTTGCTCTCAAAGGAACCATATATAAAAGATTGCCTCAATTGTCTGCCTGYCCTTCTCTGATGAAGGCAGACCAACCTCACTCCACTCTGGACAAAGAGGGAAACATAACTGTGTTTCTTAAAATTATTCCTMCAGTGAAGTTTGTTGAAGTGGTTGTTTTGATGGCATCTCCCTAGCACTTATTGCAGATTTCTGTAAATTGTAGTTCCTTTTCCTTTTTATATTCCATTAAATATTTCTCAGTTGGTTGTATGGTCAGTGGTATTGTTTCCTTGGCTGATACCATCTTCCTCTGCCTTTTTCACTGGAGAAATGAGAAAGTTATATTGGGTTCTTCAGAAATATTTTATTCCTAACACCAGAGTGCCTGATACTGGAGCTGCATTTTGTTTGGGCTCAGTCTGGCTGTGCCATGAATATGTGCTGTCATTTTCTGGGCACAATCTAACTTTATAGCCAGGGTTGTGACCTGAGTATAAAGTTTCATTTGGAACAAAATGTTTATGCCTGAATRAAACAGGCTGGGTGATGCTTTATGTTAGGTAGGACTGGAATCTGCATAGTTTACAGGCAGTAACTATTAATTTTATTAAGATTGTAGAATTAGTGGAGCTCCACACTGCTTGATTTTGAATTTAAGAATAAATGAAACGCAGGAGACTAATATTTCAGTAGGCAAATGGACTTTCTGCAGCGTAGGTTTAATGGTGTTTTGTTTTGGGGCTTTTTGTGTGGTTTTTTTGGGGGGGGTTTGTTGTTTTTAACTTGTTCAGGGTTTTTGGTGGTGAGAAGTTTTTTGGGGTTTTCCTTTTTTGTTTCCTCTGAAGCACAGTTTCACAAAAGCATAGCGCTGGAAGTGATTTCTCCGTTTCCTCCATGGTCTGGTTGAGTACGTACAGATAATAATGTCTGTTCTAACATCTCTAAAATCCCCAGTGGAGCAGGACTTGTAGGAAGCCTGTCTAGGTAGTCTGGCCTGTYACAGTGCTTAATTATAATGTTTTTCATAATGCAACAGTAGTAGATTTTTYCCCCTCTTCTATAATGCAAGATTGTTTAAGATATGCCTTAATTAATATGTGGCAATCACCTGAAAATGT